GACGGAAGCTTTGCGATGGTAGGCTCATGATCTGAAACGAAAGCTTCTCTAGAGGGACCGAGAATCAGATCAAGACATTGTTAAGCAATATAGTTTTCAAGATTTAGTGAGATCAGTGCCGTGGGACCAGAAATAGTCGTCGAGAGGTTACATTTCAAGAATGGTGCAAAGATTGTGAAAGCTATGTGAATTTTATTCGATACTTTGAACAAGAGGAGAAAGCCTCTCGCTCATTGAGCGTGACACGAGCAGGGGAACCTGTTGATTGCAAATCTACAAACTCGGCCGGCCCTCTCGCGTCGGGAGGCACCAATGAGTAACTACATGAAAATCCTGAATTGCGGTGCCCCATGCCGTGACTCTCCTTCTCCGCACACCCAAAATAATGAGAATGCCACGACATAGTTATACTAGTCTTGGCCGGAATTCCTCTTCCCCAACAAATATTTCGACTAAAACAAATTACATTGAAGAGGCGCCCAAGTTCCTCCGCTTCTATGGCCTGGCGAGACATACTGCAAAGTGCCACGCCCGTTTCTCTCATCCACACGCATGATGTAGCCCTGAGGGTTGTGTGAAAATGATAGTTTTTTGAAATTACAATCATTCGGTCCAACCTGACACCATGTGAGCCTATGCAAGTGTCTACCAGCCTTAATAATCACACATCCAGTGAGCACATAGGGGGACTCTTCTCAACACCTATCAGTGATGGCCCCTACGAACCTCCAGCTCTAGCCATTGCTTACACGGATGGATCTATTACCAAGAGCAATGTGAGCAGCATTGGCTCTGTGATTTACATGCCTTTCACTAGAGAGCTAAAAAGCTTCTCCTTCAATCTTGGAAACCCCATTGGAATAACTAACACTGAAACCTACTGCATTTACAAAGCTGTTCAGTACCTAAAGAAAAAGCCGCCAAATGCGAGATATCAAATTTTTAGTGACAGCCAAGCAAGTCTTCAGAGGATACAGGGGAAGACAAACTACCTTTCACACCGAATTCCGAATCTAGCCAAAGGCAGCAGTCTGAGCTTTACCTGGTGTCCAGCTCATGCGGGGATTGAGGGTAATGAACTTGCTGACTCACTTGCAACAGGAGCAGCAAAGAAGACAGCTTCAAGATAAGACAAATTTACATCCCATTCTTTTCTGAAGCAGAAAGCAACTGAAGATGTTTTAGGTGCTTGGCATAATGACTGGCTAACAGAAGTTCTCCGAGAAGAGGAGGGCAGAGGGTGTAGGGGACTTGGCAAGTTCCACAGAATCCAAGCTCAGATGCATATACCCACCTTTTCTCTACAACCATTTAACTTTCAAAACCACAGTAGGATTGTTGAATCAGCATTTTTTCAGGCCAGAACTGGGATTGGAAATACCAGGGCTTACCTGGATATAATTGGCAAAGCTAAAGACGAAAGTTGCAACTTTTGCAAGGCTAAAAAGCAGAACACAAAACATCTATTTCTTGATTGTACCAGATATTTCAAGCAAAGGGAACTAGCCTTTACTGACATAACGCCTCTTTCATTACACTTTTTATTGAGAACCAAAAGGGGGAAGGAAGCCCTTCTAGAATTCTTGAAAACTTCCAGGTGCATGTGAGCATATAAAGGAGATGATATAGGTACTTAAATAATGGACATAGAGACATATGGAGAAGTGATTTTGGGCGTTGACTGGTGTCATTCTGCGATGTAAAAATAAATTGATATTTAATTGTCATAGCTAGATAGCTGAATATAATATGATTCAAAAAAAGCCTCCAGCTCTCACTGTAGAGTCTGCAGAGCCGAGATTGAGTAGCAAAGTCCTCACTTCCATGAGGAGTCCCAATCGCTTTCGCCGTCTGTATCGTCTTCATCTCTCAACACATTCCCCTATCACCATTATCATGAAGCTAACCACAATCAGATTAGATGGTAGGGTCGGAGCCCTACTCATCACCAACCCTTGATCATGGAGAAAAGGCCATCCGATGAGTTTCCGGAGCGTAGCCAGCACCCGATACGGAGATGGTAGATTGGATCAAGTCGGCCTCAACCGTTACAAATACGGGATACTTAGATAGATAGGCGCACTTGTGTGGCTTGAGCTGCAGGTTTTTCGAGACTCTGTCCCGCGCACGCAGTTTCCATTGCTACCTTTTCTATCTTTCTTTGGATAAAAAGCAGCTGAATTCTACGGGTAAACACTGAGCTGAATGGCTATTCATCACGAGCAATATATCAACGATCTTTGAAGTAACAAAAGAGGCAAGGAGCACTGTACAATGTGAGGCCTGGGTTAGAGAGGAGCCCAATGTGCTAGACTGTCTCCGACTCAAGTAATACAATAAACATTCCTCTCTCTCTCTCTCTTTCTGAAAAACTCGTCCCCACTTTCCCCGAGAAATTACTCTAGCGCCAGCGCTCTTCCATACTAGACCAGGTGGGCCGCTTCTTTCCTCTCTCACAAAGTCCTCATATCCAGCGTAAGATATGATGAAAAGAGATGGTCCTTGAAAGTACTTGTTCTAGTGGTTTTTTGCGATTCGTCTGAAATTCTGGGTTTGTGTGTCATTTTGGGCAGGCGAAGCCTCTCGAGTTCGTCACCTCTACCTGCCAATTTTCAAGTCTTTCATTATAGCGGCTAGACTCATTCAACCTTTTGTCATTAAGTTGGTTTGGACAAACTCGAGCGGGCCTGTCCGCTATTTGTTTTCCTTCGGATCCTAGGTATCCTGTATTCCATTAATTTCTTGTCATTGCAATCGGTTTGGCGGCTATCTTTCAGAAATTCTAGACCTACTAAGATGATGATATAATTCTCGATCGTTGCACCTGGAATACTACAATATTTACGAGGAAGATTTGTATTATTCTTTGCCGATGCTTACAGTTGCCTATTGCTTATTATAAAAGCGGCAATAGCAGCCAATGCTCCGCAGACTTCTACGCTCACACTTAAGTCAGAGCCGCTTTGATGGGTAGATTTGCTTCTATTGTTGACAAAATTTACAAAGGCCCATTATATTCCGTCAGTAGACGCCCTAGAATCATCACTATAGGCACATGATCAGTTAGATGATAGGGTATTTTGCGACTGTTCGATAACATTTTCTGCACCTTTCTCATTTGTCCTACAGGGCCCGCCATAGTCTATGTAGGGGGTTGCAGAGATAGTCGAGGTTCCGCTCAGGATAAAAGTTGCCACGGCCTCTGTACCCTATAATCGTGGTTTGGTTCTTGCCCAAGCCTGCTTCTATTGTATATCCGCAATACAAGACAATTAAAAGCGCTATGTGTAATCCTCAAAGCTCCAAAATGTAGCGGGGATTTGCGCCCTACCCTACTGATGCAAGTTGCTAACTTGTATCCTCACTCTTGCAGCAAAATTTATGTCGGTGAGATGCCAATTTCTATCCTCCAAACTGTCGTCAGTGTCATGTTTCAACTGGGTAAGGTGACGCGGATTCAATACATAGTGGCGTTGTCGATAAATTTGCACTATTTCCTACTAAATCTCTGCACAGTACCTTCGTAAATTTCCCTAGCTGGCTCTTGTCACCAGATATCAATAGAATGAATCACAGCTAATATTGCCGGGTGCGATGACAGATTGTTATTACTAGAAATATTTTTCATGAGTTTTAGGCGTTAATTCCCCGAGTCGAGCTCACCATCTTGTCCGGTAGTTGATTCGACACGCCTTCCCTTTATTTGTCCGTCAGGTGGATCAGAGCGTCTAACTTCCCGCCTAGCGATTATTTGCCCAGGCAGAAATTATGAAAAGATATGGCTGCGAATCAAGTCTATCTCAAGCCCCTTAGCTTATTACAAACTCTCGATCCTTCCCTCTTCTCAAGTCATTAGTGAAAGTAACCGAATGCTTATAGTTTATTAAAAAGAAGGGTTCATTTTGGTGACGAAGCTAAGGGTTTATTGCTTTCCGTGTGAAAGTGCACGTCTAATGAAAAGTGCTAGCCCTAAAGCACTAATGTGATAGAGTGCAAATTTTTGGGACTTACTTGGCAATTGGTACGGAAGGGTAAATACTGGGCAAATATCACTCAATAGAATACAAGGGAGCTCAACGCCTACATGCGTCACCTTTCCTGGACGCTGAATTATCGGTGGGCCCAGCATGTTGTTGCGGGATTTCTTTGTATGTGCTTGCACATCGTATAATCTGCTTACTGATCTAAGCGATACCTAGCTTTTATTCTTACGCTGTGCACCAGCTCGATGCTGACAAACCGATTCTCCGCGACGAATGATCCTTACGGTTAAAAAGATGGAAGACAGAAAAATAAAGTCCAAAGGAAGACAATTCGTGGTTGATTAATGTAGAACCTGGTGACGAGCGACAAGGGGAGATCTTCATTACATCTTAAAAAAGACATGCATGCGCTAGTAAAAGGGGTATCCTTTGAAGTAGTATTTTGAATCAGAAGGATCAGAGATATCAAAGGAGTTTAATCCGATCTCCATATAATTCTGTGCCGTCTAACTTAACCCTTTTGTTTGATTCTGCTCTTTGCGTTTTCCCTTTATGTCTCTCATGCTACCGTCTAAATAGTTTACTACAACCTAGCTTCAATCCTTTGTTATCGGTTTACATCTTTGGATTGTAATTAGGCTGTCCCATGAAGTCCTGATATAAGACTACCTCAAAGCTTTTTACATAGGTCCTTTCAGACTTGTTAGCTGAGCTTCAAACCGCCCAAGAGTAGTATGAGTACTTCAGCGTAAGATACAAAGCCTCTAGAAGCCAATGAGTCGAACCGGAAATTAACAGGCTTCATAGGAAACTATGGAGCTGATCGGGTAATGAAGTTGTTAGAGGCCTGTAATCTTCGTATTTGCCATATTTCTATGAGACAGAGAAATGAGTCATAAGAGTAAGAGCTACATTTACATCTAGAACATAAAAGACAAACTTGTCGTCTTTATGAGTCGATGAATGAGGAGCGACCATCTCCTACCCCTAGATGACAGATTTGACCTAGGCCGCGTGTCACGACTTCAATGAGTTTCTTACGGCCGTCTCACGAGCCGCGGGCCGGCTAACTTTTTTTCGTACTGGCTGATAAAAGTCGTTGAAGTTCATCACCACGCCCAGAAACCGCATATCAACGTCTGGTTGATGCGCCAAGTCACCAAGTAATAGACATACGCGCGTCTTAAAATGACTCCCTAGGCTACTGAGTCTTTCCTGTAGAATAGGGAATTCGTCTGTAATGTTTTCTTGAAGAGCCTGAGCTGTTGATGGCTGATGAAGACGGGCGGTACTGGGATTAGGGGTGCCCAACAGACCATCGTCGTCCTCTCGTCGGCCCAAAAACTCACGTTGCACATCCGCTCCTTGGCGCTTTGTGAAGTCTGAGACAGACCAGCTATATAGACCATCGACAGAATCGCGATAACTTAGCATCAGGCGTAATATTTCGCCTAGCTGAATCATAAATGTATTCTCGTCGACTTCTCCGTGATGTTTCTTCCTCGCTCCAAGAAGGCCTTTGTGTGTAATTGCCTTAAGATATCTAGTATGTGCTTTGATAAGATCATCTAAAGTGCAACCATCCTTATTAATCTCGGTCTGAAGCTCGTCCCATGAACTTTCTATTACTTCGAACAAGATGTAGTACTGTAGCTGTCCAATAAAGTGAATCATCTCGGTCAAGACACCTCTAGTTTGTTTCCAGGCCTGTACTACGATTTTGTTATCACCATGTAGAACACCTCGAGATCCGGTCATACATCTTCGCCAAGTCGATGATAAAGCGAACTCGACACGTTTTATCCGCCACAGAAAATTAAAAACTTTGAGGTACTGCCGATTACCCCATTCAGTGACAACGACGTCAACCGGAGCATCAATCTTATATTCCAAAGTAAAACAGTCCCACCCAATATCACCGTGTGAAAGTTGCAACATTCGAGCATCCAGTCTTCGTAGAACTTCAGGAGAGTCGTATTGTGCGTTTGAGCCACGTATTGCATGTTCAAGCTGTGCGGTAAGAGTGTGACGATACTGGGCCCCCGCGGGCCGATCAAGATTAGATGATAAAGATTCCATTAGAAGAGCAATAAAATCGCCCTGACCGAGAAGGATATAATTTTTTAGAGCTTTTAAGTGTTTGAAAAGATAGAATTTTTCGGCCATGAGGTAAATTAGACGTGCCATGGTGGTTTTATATGCCTCGTCAATCCAAGTTTCGAGGGTTGCTGTATCACCATACCGAAGTTCCTTCGATGCTGCCTTCGAGTATCTCTCGACCCACTGTGCATCACCACATCCATATCGAATGAAGTTGAGTGATTTCCCGATCAAAAAAACCTTTTGGGCAAAGTCTTGCGTGATGATGCTAGGCACCATTTCTTCATTAAGCTTGTACTTATCTTCCCAAACACTACTTGCTCCACCCCGACTACGCCCATCAGGAGCATTGTGTATTGATTGTGGATCCTGTTCGGAAATGAACGACTCATGATAAGGGTCCGATAGCTCTCCATCATAAATCCAGTGTCGCAACATATCGTAGAATGGCCGTGAGACCTGGATTAGTAAGCGCTCCGCAAATGCTCCAACCATAGGATCCCCGTGTGACGAGGAAAATCCATGAATAAGTGATATTAGCTGACCACCTTTCTTGCTTTTGGACTCCTCACTGATAAGGCCCATGAGGCGAAGACCCATAGTTGCCTCTCTCGTCCAGACAACACATCGCTTCAAAGTGACTCCGGGCTTTCTAATGTCGCCTCGAAGATCTTGGTTATCAGTGTGAGAAAGGGCTTGCCGTATCTGTGCCTCGAGCACAGCTATTAACCCCAAGTATGATCGTAGCTCTGCTCCTATAGCAGCTCGTAAACTCTGGCCTAACAATCCACTTCCTGGATTCTGTACAAAACTGGTTAGTCGTTTGTATAATAGAGACGGCTCCGCTAACGTATGCAGTATGGATATAATTGGGACTGGTAGAGTTGAAGGTAATCTCAAGGCTGCTTCAGAAAACTGTAGATGCGTAGAAGAGAGTCCTTGCAAAGTAAATGGTAAGTCACGGAGCAATGCAGTTTCTGGCGGATTCAATTGAGCATAGCCACAGGATAGATGAGAAGATTTAGGTACAGTCTCTTCTTGATGAGAAATGGCTGGCTCAAGCGTATGCTCTTCGTCTTTTCTTTCACGTTGTCCCCCCTCGTGAATAGGTAGTCTCTTCAGTCCATCCGGCTGGAAAGCGTCAATGATATTTTTATCAATTCTCCCTGAGTTTATTTCCATTCCAGTCGAACTACCATTTTTAACGTTTTGGTTTTGGTAAGCATCCTCTACTAGGCTCTTGGATGAGAATTTAGAGGAAGGTGTTGATGTGTGCTGTTCATCACTGAGTTGATACAGAAAGTATAACACTGCCCATTTCTCCTTGATCACTGGAATAGAAAGTAGCGTGTTGTATAAACTTAGAAATCGAATGGCTTTATCGGGTGAAGGGTTTGATTGAAATAAGTGCTTTTTAATCAACTCGGAAGCCTGGTTGATGTCGGCAACGACTGTTGGGGATTGAGAGCTAGCAACGAGTCATCAGTAGAACCCATGTGAGTCAACAAATAGCAGTTAATTACTTTTCAAGAAACTCCCAGACAAAATCAATTGCCTCGTTGACTTTCTCGTCAGTCGAGGCTTCGTCAACTTTGGGAATGTCGGCGAGAAGCTTTCCTACCAACGAGTTTATACCGTTGCTAACCCGTTGATTTCTGGAAGACATAGTTCCATCCTCTGAAAATAAGTTGCGCCCGACTTTACAAATGGCAAGCTGGAGATATAACGTTCACGAGGGCGGTTATTTCAAACTTCCATCTTTGGCCTGAGGCTAATTTAAATTTGCAGGCTAAGTCGGCGTCGAAACTCAATGCAATCAAACACGTTGAGCCCAAATAACCTCATTCTCGTAATCTAAGTTTCCTCTCCGACTTCCTTTGCAGGTATCTTCTAGCTTCAATCAATACATGGGTTCCTTTAGCTATCCGCCAAAAGTGCCATAAAAATTGCATTTGGTACGTTAGCTAGAATAATGGACGATATAGATCCAGCAGCTTTAGGCCGTCCAGTCACTTCGACGACTCCTACTCTACCATCCAAATCATTGAATGGACCAATACTAAATGGGACTAAAATCTCTAAGCCGGGTATCGGCCCTCCACCACCTCGAATTAATCTTGAACCCATGTATATGGCAGTCAAAGGTGCCATTGGCGAGCACTGGCCAACTTACAAAGAGGCTATCATCCAATTCCTTTCGGGTTCGTACATGACGAACGATTCCCTACCTCATATTCACCCACCTCCGGTTGAGGCAATCTAGTTCTAACCACTCACAGGGAACCTGAACCAAGCCGAATTCTCGGCACGAATCAATCCTTACGTACAATCTCCGACGGGAGAAACAGAACACTTACACAATAAGCTAATAGCTGGCATCTACGGAAATGCGACGCGGGAAATACCTGATCATGGCGTTGCTAGCTGGGTTAGTGCGAATGACAAGCCAATAATTATAGGAGCCAAACCGGTCACTGGTGACGCCGCAGAACAGAGACTCAAGACAGAAGTGATGCAACTACCGAACAGAGACCGCAGGCGAATGAAAGATTTGACCCCAAATCACGTAGGAGCTCTGCAGTTTGATGAATGGACGACACTGACCCACGTATCAAGATTAATTCACATGACACTATTGCCAATGTTTTTGGCGAGCATCGTCGCCCTCGAGTTGTGGCAAAACCCATAGATTCTGTGCCCACAAGTGCGGGAGGTAGTCTGCAGATGACTAGTGCGTCTCTCCTCTCAAGCGTCAGGTACGTGACTTACTATTTTCATAGACTTAGATGTAGAGATTCGAAAAAGGTATGCTCAGCCTCTTGCCTCGGAATCTGGAGAATTCCCAGACAGCTCTACTATTGAGTCTCGGATGTTGCCTATTTGTTGTGAGACCGGTATCCTCTCGGGGCATGCTCCAGATGCAGCGCACTTTATGTCCGTGGCAACAGAAACATTTATCAAAGAAGTACTCTCGACTATATTCAGCAAAACTCGAAGTAATGGGCCTGGAACGGGTGGCAGTGCTGGAACTGGAGGTGGTGCAAATTGGATTCAGACGCACAAATACCGCATCCAGCTTGAAAGAGAAGAGGATGCAGCCCAACGCGGCGAGATCCTCCGAGATAAGAGTGGATTATTGCCTATGGAGGCCCGAGCTGCCAGTGAACGAGGTCCGCTAGGTATGGCCGATGTCCGTATGGCTCTAGAGCTAGGCGATTGCGGCCTTGGACAGATGTCGGCTGTCGTGCAACAAATCCTCCTCGGATACCGGGAAGGCGAAGTCGAACACTGGGACGATTATACGTGGCCCGAAAATCACGTCCGGATAGACGGCCAAGATGTGCCGCTCGATAGTGATACTGAGATGAGTGGAATGAGAGCACTAAACGGATATTCCCATGACAAGGAAAGCGACGATTGGGGGTGGGAAGGATGTGGACCTGAAGACAGAGCAAGGTTAGACAACTTATTAGATTCTTGTTTGGCGGTTTAATCAGATTACACGGCTCCTAAATTATCTCTATATTATTCAAACGACGAGCTAGGAAAAATCAGGATACGGCAAGATGTGGCGTGTCTTGGCTTTCTGAGTACTTGATTAACATGGGCCACAGATGGGGTCACCACGGCACCAAGTTACTTATTTTTATAGCTCTGGTGTAATTCGGGCGTGAAGCTAGGTTGGTCTAGTTGAAGGATGGTTCCTGGCGTAACAGTACAGCTGGAGTACGGATGAATCCAAATATTTTTACGGGGAGCCCTAGTTGTATATGAAGCAACTACAGCTTAATATCCAATGTATAAATGTATGATATTAGGGGGAACTACTTCTGATACTGCGATGACTGATCCCGGATTTTGATCCTGATTGGCTTGCCGATTCATCGCCTGAATAGCTCCATCATTCTGTTATCCCAACAGTAACATTGAAATAAGTACTGACGCGTAGATAGAACAGAATGTGAGGTTTTACAAGCGTGGCGATTTGTATGTGAGTTATGGGTCAATTACATAGGTTTCATTAACAGGGCACAGTGGGAGCTCTCCACCTGGAGCTTTCTCGTAATAGACAGTCATATCAACTAGGTTGAGGTATGTGTCAATATTTCTATTTATTAAATGGATACTACCAAGCGCGGTCCTTGGCACCCAATTCTGTATCCCCAATGAAGATGTAAAGGTGAGTCTGACGCCCACAAAGTGAAACCTCGGATCGGAGGTGTTTAAATAAATACCCATAACCTTAACCCCAGTGCTTATCACTCGCTCGCATGGAAAAATTTAATATTATCTTTGTAATCAGAAGTGAAAAAGTGAAGGGAATATTTTGAAAAGTTTTCGGGGATGACTGTAAAGCTAGTCATAAGAATAAGCTGGTAATCGTAAACTACGGGAGAGGCCGTTGCTAGCTTTAGATCACATCTCTTTGCTAGATTGTTCACGAACGTACGGTACAAGATGAATTCCAGCTATCAGCTGGCAGGTTGACTGGACTCGGAGGTGGAGGAGCCGGCGGTGAGTAGTCGTGAGCAAAATCTGACGAGAGAAAGTTGTATGCACTTTTAGCCTTGAGGTCGAGAGTCGTTGACAAACATTGAGAAAATTCCTGACCGAGACTGGCGTCACGGAGTATTGGAGAGCGGCGACAAGGGGTGGGCACGGCCATGACAACAGGTGACTGAGCGTTAGACGACATGGCTTAATGGAAGACGGTACTGGACTCCAAAGTTAATTGTGTCGGTAAGACAGCAGAAACGGCGAGGAACCTACATACTCAAAGTTTGGGCCGGGGCGAGAACAATAGAGTATGTTCAGCAAAGACGACAACCAAGGCAGAGAAAATTGGCTGATGAAGCCAGCTGTTTCACGGTAAGGGGGTCTAGATGGACTGAAAGACGCGAACAATGGAGATACTGGAATTTAAAAGGTTGAAGTGAAGGGAAGAGATAGTTGAAGAGTTGGATCTCGGAAACAAGGTGACTCCTTCAGTTGATCTAGTGGTGAATACGGTGGGAATTGTGGTATTAATAATAATCTTTGGACGTAGAAGCGAAGTTGTGCAACCTTGGACTAAGCCCAAGTCCATCCCTTTCCCCCTCTCCTACACACAGGCGCACACACTGCACGAAGGGGTCCATGGACGAGTGTCGTCCGCTCTCTCGTCCGATGGCCAGAGGTGGGAAGAGCCGGATGTGGGGGGGCAAGCGTGGGTCGATTGTGGCCCTGCCATCTCCAGTTTTCCGTGGTGCAATGATTGGAGATGAGGCTATGTGCGTGGTGTGTGGTGCGTGCGAGTGGAATTGTGGGCGTGGGTGGGTTATGCGTGCTACCAGATCTTTCATGAAGACTCTGATTTTCATGTAACCCATGTCACCTCGCTGGCGATGTCTGGAGAGTGGGGAGGTAAATGAGATGCGTGAAGGATTAGTCGAATCACGGCGGCCTAGGGAGACGATATTGGCGCAGGATGGGTCGGGATAATGTGTGAATGGGTAACGATTGGTGGCATCGTGCATCGTATCCCCCTTCACCCATAACGTTGCCTAGCCGACCAGACGGCCTTTCGTGAAATCCACCGCGACTATGGAGGAAGGCGGAAATAACGTCGAAAGCAGAACAAACCAAACCCCAGCGAAGATCATAGAAATGGATACCATAGCAACAATCCGCCCAATTCTCTTGTTGCTGGTAATAATAGGTGCCGCCTGATTGGATCCCGGGCAGGCATGGTTTTCTTGGTTCGGAATGATGCGCTCTATGAAGGCGAAGCTGCGTGAATCCGTCCTCTCACACCTTCACTTCCTCCTGAACCGACATCCAGTCCCGACGATTCTTAGCGACTTATCCACGCCCGTATCCGCATCCGTACGCTCCCGCACCTTGAACTGTACCCGTCTCCCCAGGCCACATCTCTTCTCCATTACTAATTGCCACGCATATACGCCGGCTCGAAAAGAATTAGGCCAACTGTGTGGTAGCGTGTAGGATGTAGCGGCCAAACGTCCAACTTTCGCTGGACTGGGGCGACAGTCGTTTCTTCTCTGCCCAACTATGTTACCGATCCATGGCCCGATGCCACAGCTTTCGCATGCCGGGTCCTCTTGGGACACTTGTGACTAGGTCAGCCTGATTATCGTGGTCGAGCCATGGCCAGGGGAGACAAGGATGAGCGGACCAGCTCGAGTACCCAGAACAGGGCTATGCGTGCAGCCCCCTAACTTCCCCCCCATGTCTCCGTATCGCATTCCTTCATCGTTGACAATCCCGGCATAGGCCGTCGCACTTCCTCAACTCCAACCTGACACTGTTCCACCGCGAATGCAAATGAGCCTCGTTCCTAAGGCTACTCATTCTTGAGGCACACAGTCTTAGCGAATAGGTCTGACAAGTACCCAGAAGCCTTCTCAATCCCATCGCAATACCCCTAATTACTTTATTGTACAGCGATGTTTCGGCAACTTCATCTCGACAAAAAATCACTCCCAGTTATGGATAAACGCTGCCTTCCAATTCCCGCGCATGATAAGGCCGCGAAATGAATCAAAAACCTTGGCATATGTTATGTTGAGGGTACTGCTTCCGCTCTAAAGTCTAGGATTCTCATGGCCCTCGGCACTACACGGTCGTGGGACAAATAATCGTTCAATACTTTTTCCTTGCAAACCAAGCAGCAAAGGGCAGCATCACCCTGTTCCATCAGCCTAAGAAAGATTGACCATGAATGTTTGACACGTCTTAAGCGGAACACTTCATAAATCCAGTCAGGCCCGTAATTGCCTGCACGGACGGCGTAGCAACACCGATTGACCTCGCACCAAAGCGTTTATCAGTGCCCGGCGCGGATGAGGAAAGCTATCTTCAGGTTCAATCATAGGTAACCAGGCTCTGTGGCTGCTCGTGTCTATTCCGTCAGCCCGAAAATTACCCTTTTTCAAGCCCCCTTACCAATGATATCCTTCCATCTGGCGACAAATTACACTCTATCTAACCTCGAACCTAGGGATTCAACTAAACGTAAGCCTAATGGAGATAAGGCGTCGTCGGGCATAAATATTAGGAGTCTTATCTATGATTGGGAGACGAGGATTGAATAAGTTTCAGAAGCACCGGGCAGAAGGTGTCACTCATTCTCTGCTTTGACCCTGAGGGCTTCTTTGTGCGCCAAGCCTTGGCCTCCAAGATGGAAAGCAAGGTGCCTGCCTTCTAGTCCCAAATTTCTCTGGCCTATCTGTGCGCTCCATCCACAAAATAAATATTACACCTAGCCAGGAGTTCCGTATCCCCTGTATTCCAAATTAATCCGGCAACCACTCATCTCTGACATGATCAGGTGACGGAACCCAACAAGGCAAGTTTCCGTACACCAGATAGAAGGCCAAAATCACATCATTACTAATTATACGGCCATGAAAGTTATGCAGGATTACATGCCGAAAGAACATCACCCAACGACATGCAATCAGCCTACACGCCTGATCAGCGAAGTGGCATTAGCAACAAACCATCCTGTCGCCCACAATAACTGGGATGACTCGAATGATATTATGGCATCATGCATATTGTTTTCCTACTCACTTCAAGATCACATCATGATGTGAGTGAGATTTAAAAGTGTAGGCCAAGAACATCAATGATTCTAGTAGGCTATTCTCCGTGATCCCATTGCGGGTCCGACGCACGATGACTTCCCTATTAGTCTCTATTCCTTGCAACACCCAACGTTGCTGTACTCATGTCGAATCAAGTCCTTCACCCAAACAAGAAAAGCCCCTTTACCTGTACACGACTGCCGAGAAAATTCCCACAACCAGTGGGCGAGGGTTACCTCACTACCGACAAAAGAGCTGAATCAGAAGACACAGCTAAACATCTAGAGTTCTGAGTGAGAATGGTCTCTCAGGCCCAGTAAGACTCCATATACCCTAGAGCGCCCCCTCTCGAAACCAAAGCTTTTCCCAACACTCTCCTTTCACGTGCCACAGGAAAAAGTAAAGATTCTGCTTATCGTAAATCATTGTGAAGCGTATCCCCGACAGAACAACATTTTATTCCGCTCAATACAGGACAGGTGTTTGGGCCAATATCTGCTTTGTAATCATGGGCGAGAACTCGAGGATGGTGCGGGACAGTGCTTTGAACAGCACTAGCATGGCCTGTCCGAAGATTCTCACTAAGCTGTTCCGATATTTCGTAGCCTTGTCCGACTCGGCTACGATGCACGAAATTTTGGCCCCTTAATCTCAGTTTAGCCTATCCAAACCCCAGCTTACTATCATTTTTCGGGAGCGCCCACCTCCTTAATGTTGAACCCTGATGTACCTTTTATACATTTTAGGAGGGAAAGGTTTGCGTACGAGATGTAAGAGAAACGCTCAATTAGTCTGTCTTCAAATGTGTGCAAGCTTTTTGTTGTGAACAGATCTGATACACCATTCTACACAGTGACTCGAAGGCAGCGTCTGTATCGGCGGCAGCAAGGATAAACTCAAAGTCTTGATGATGCAAAACGTTCAGCCTGACGCGACTTTCAGGAAGAAAAAAGACCACACTTCTCGCGCTGTCAAAAACATCGGTGAAGCAGGAACTTGTATCTTTATCGAATTGCAGTGCATCTTGTAGTGTTCAAGGAAATTTTTATTTGAATATCTTTTCATATTGCTGTGGTTAGAATTTCCATGAACCAAAGAAGCCAAGACAACGCTCATAGTTACTTGTTTAGACTAAAATATAGGATACAGGGCTTGTTTGGTCAGATAATAGTCTCTAATGGGACTCTACTGCCAAACTTATTGTATACCTTAGCACGGAGAAGTATTACCCAACGAGAGGAGTGGCTAGACTGAAGGCTCGATGTGACCAAAAAATTGGTTATACTTGATGAATTGTATTATAACTCGTCTCAAACCTATAAGGACGGATTAATACTTGACGATTGTCGGCAGGGTCCGCTTTGTATCCAATAGTGACTAAAGAAGCCTTAAACTATCTACAAGACCACGGCCTTCCACACAATCTGAAGATACATTTGGATTCTGGGTTAGGCTGCTATACAGAAGACACTCTCAATCAAGACCTTTCTGGCATTGAAAGATAACCTCCGGTTGTCTTGAGGCGCAAATGATTGAAGTAGATGATGGTAGGCAGAGAAAGTAGACAGAGCTTATACAGGATATGCACAAGTTTGTAGTGTATGGCTCACCAATCTCTTAGACTGCCCTAGAAGAGCTGCGATATCTTCGTGCCCAGTCCTGGTGTTGGTTTTAGGAGAGCTCGTACATGGCGGTATTAGAAGGCCATCCTATCTGTCTTGAAACCTAGGAAGGCTTTTATTGATTGGAGATTGGAGATTGGAAATTATTGATAACATGTTACAAAAGAGTCTTCTACGTGCATGATCTACTGAAAAGTTGTGAACGGTGCCAGCGTTGTTGGAAGCTGCAAAGTAAAAGACATATTACCCGAGGCTTAGATATCACTAGTGTGTAGGCGAAGAAACCTGCTCTCCTAGATACGTCAGCTGCGTTAGCTAATAGTTCAGAACCTAGCACCGGTCTGCATCCACTCTCTCGTGATCTTACTGCGCCAGCGGAAAATAGAATACGCATGACTTCAAACGGCGAGCCCCTTAAAATTCTTATCGTCTTGCGCGTCCCGTACGGCGACAAGGCGACCAAGATATTATCCCCGCACCTTCAC